TAAACTTTTTATTTTAATAAGAGAAAATAACTCTAAATAATATACCTACTATTACTCATCAACCAAAAATAAAGTAATATATACTTTGAAAATGATTTAGAATAATACCAATTAAAAAATCCAACTTATTATAATATATGCTCTATGTTAAGGCCAAAAATAAAATAATACGGAGTACCATTTTTTAACAAGAAATCCAGTTATTTAAAACATCAAAAACTAATTGAAAATCATCAAATAAATGATATTCGGAAATACAATCACTTATTTGATATTTTAATATTAGTTTTTGGTGAATTAAATGACTAAATTTTTGGTGAAAAAAATGTTTAATACAATATCACTTTTGGTGTATATTTAAATTGTTGGTATGATTACAAGTTTATTCCAAAGTCAGTATTAAGATGTTTTTACTTGGACTGTAAATTGTTGGTATGGTTTGATCTAGTCTGGTCTGATCTGATCTGGTTTCTTTGTATTTTAATAATTATCCAAGTCTTGTTTGATCTGGTCTGGTTTGAGACAAATTATAGTCTAAGTAAAAACATCCTCATTATTGTTAGTAATAAAAGATACTAGTAGTTTGTATTATGTAAAGTTTTTTTAGACACGATAACCTCAGAACCAATTGGGCTGAAATGTTTGATTATTTTCGCTTTTAATAATGAAACGTTTGATTATAAAATCGAATTATGTGGTAAGTGTGTTACAAAAGTCCAAATTAATTCCACTACCCAATTTAAGAAGAATCGGCCATATTCTAGTTCTTTTTGGTATTATGTGGTCTTATGTGGCCCGGTAAATATCTTTCCACTTTTCTTTTTTGGACGTAACATTAATATCTTTCCATTTCTAGATCTTCTCATCATATGCTCAAGAATTTTAAAAATAATACACTATTACACCTACTTTTTTGGATTTATCCTTCATTCCATCACATTATTTCACTATCTTCCCATTATACCTCCAATAATACATATTTTCTTTCACTATTCTTATCCTACCTACTTTTGAAATTGGAACATCCCAAGGTTACAGATGTATTATTTGTCATCACGATCTCCAACGTACTACGGAGTATTTGTCTATATCAGCAGACAATGAATTGGTACCATGAAGTATGAACCACACATTTTTCAATGACGCAGCTATCAAAAACTTTGTTGCTAGTATGTTACTCGGTAGTTCTTTAAAACTTGTTACTTTATTGTTCTATCAGAGCATCTCCAATGCTATAATGTGCACGGTACACATGTGGCATGAGTGATAGCCACATAAATATTAACAAATAAATTATTTATCTCCTTATTTGAATGATTTTATATAATTTTGGTAAGTTTTTTCCTGCAATGTCAACAACAATGTCAACATTTAGACGGTCTCCTTGACATTGTGGAGAAAAACTTACGAAAACTGTATAAAATAATTCAAATAAGGAAAAAAAAGAATTTATTTACTAATATTTATGTGGCTATTTCTTGTGCCACGTGTGCACTATGCACATTTTACCATTGGAGATGCTCTTAATTTTGTCACTTCGCTTTCAAGTAAAGATTTTGTGATTTCAATTAATTCACATGATTTTTATTTTATTAATTTCTGTGCTGGTTAAACTTGACAAAATTTTAAGAGACGGGGAGTAAGAAGGACGGAGTAGATAAATATAGGAAAAATCAATTAGCATAACCTTATAACGTAAGGCTCATAAATAAGATTGTCATTCCTAAAAAAAGTTAAAATTGTCATATTTTTATTTCATAAATTAAAAGAGTTTAATGCACTTATGCACTAAACACTAGTAATATGAAAATTCAGCATATTATGATTCAAATTCACTTATATTATACTCCCTCCATCCTGGAAAATTCTTACTGATTTGACTTGGATCAGAATTTAAGAAAGTGGGAATAAAATGAAAATGCATGATAGTGGTTAGGGGTAATTTGAGTTTGCACCCCATTTTATTGTGCAAATTGGACTTTCCACCCCGTTTTTTAATTTTTTTACACCCCAACCCCATATGAAAAGACAAAATCGCCCCTCCATTAACAAATTTGTTGGCTTTCAACATATTCCTGATCGAGGGCGTTTTTGTCTTTTCATATAGGGTTGGGGGTGCAAAAACAACGATTTTTAAATGGGATGCAAACTCAAATTAATCCTAATGGTTCAGTAAGAAAAAGTAAATGAATGGTAGCCACACAAACCTTTCCATAAAAGAGTAATGAAAAGAATTTTTTGGAACATCCCAAAAAGGCAGTGAGATTTTTTTGGGCGAAGGTAGTACTGCGTAATTATTATTGCGCATACCCCCTCTATGAACTAATTTAATTGTCATGTTAAGGAAAATGATTAACATTTTTGTATAACTAAGAGATTTTGACAAATTTACTGCATATTTCAATCATAATATTAAGAAAAGTTATTTTCAAATGTTAAGTTTGTTCACAAAAGAAGATTGTGCATGAATTATAACACATGAGAGTTTGACGCATTTTTAAATCACATAGGGCTAATACGTTGAATTTCTATATCACGGGGGTTGGTGCATTAAACCGAAATAAGAGTAATTAATGTCAACTTTGGAAAAGACTATATTAAAAATTTATAATGACAAATTATGGTACTAATTACTCATATCCACGGAATAAAAAAATGACAATTCTATTTAAGAATTTACAAACATTTTTACTGGCCTCATCTAAGATGGTACTACGTAGTTGTTTGTTGTGTGTACTTCAATTGTCAAAATTTGAATTGATCTATTTAAATTGGATTGAAACGAGTCTAATCAAAAGCCTCCGTAACAAAAAAAAACTTTACACTTCGCTTTTTCGTTCATAACAAAAAAAAATTCTCATTTCAAAATTTTCTCATCATACCTCAATGATTTTGAAAATAATACATTATTACAATTATTCTTTTTGGATTTATTCTTCATTCCATCACACTATCCCATTATTTCCCCATCATACCTTCAATAATTTATATTTTCTTTCACTATTTTTAACCTACCTAATTTTAAACTTAGGGAGTACTTTCAAATCATCATCTCGAGTGTGTGGTAATTTTAAGGCTAAAGGGTAAAATAGGCCCTAAAACTAACTTAAAAAGTGTAATTCACCCCTTATTTAGGAGGCTCTGTCCGACCGTCGCCAATTGGAGCGGTTTTTGATCAAATTTTTTGATGATTTTTTTAGCATCTTCTTCATTAAGTTTAGTTTACTCATATCAAATTTGAGTTAAAAATTGAATTGGGAAGGCAGTCAAATGAAATTTTGAAGATAATTGTGCAAATAAACAACGCTGTACATTTCAAAAAATTATTCGGCTGTTTTCGCAGTTGAATTTTTATTTGAAATTGGATATAGATAAACTAGACTTAATGAAAAAGATACTAAAAAAATTTCACGGCCACTAACTTTAAAGAAGAGGTGAATTGCCCTTTTTGAGGTAATTCAAAAGTCTATTTGACCATTTAGCCTAATTTTAAAGATTTGAGACACTCTTTGAAACGAAGATAAGGGAGTGTTTGCAATTGCTTCAACTTTAAAAAAGTGATTTTTTCAAGTGATTTTGGGAAAAATGATTAATAGTAAATGTTGGTAGTGTTTGAGAAAAAAGTGATTCTGAAAAAGTAAAAGTTGGTAGTGTTTGGTAAAATAAGTACTTTTTGTGTAATAGAAAAATTGAGAAGCAGTTTAAAGCACCCTTCTATTTGCTTCCAGCTTTTAGCTTTTAAGTGATTAATTTAAGCCGAAGCTGTCATTTGAAAACACTCTTTTCAACTTTTTTTAAGCCAAAAGCTGAAAATCCCTTTTTTTCAAGCAAACCCAAACATTCCTTAAATTTGATAAAGAAATGAACGAGTACCAGCAAAATAGATTTGACATGTTGACGACTGAAGGGGAAGTCAGTTTCCCCAGATTTCGAGATAGACAACAGAATGTCAACAAAATCCCTCTTCTCATCGCCCTTCAGCTGCTCATGGTCATCAACAATCCTCTCCAGGAACGTATCAAAGAGTTCGGCGGTGGCTTTCAATCTTCTTCTGAAGCCTTGCAGGTCGACCCAGCCCAGATATGGCGGAAAGTAATCCGCAAGATTCGGTCGAGCAAATAGCTCCATCGTCTCTTTAACCGCGACCTTCAATCCCCTCTCATCGACGTCCTTGAACTCGTATTTCTTCCCGAACACCGTCCTACAGCTCATGTCGGCCGCCAAGGCCGCGACCCGGGCACTCAGATCCACCTCCGCCGCCGTCTCCGCCGCCGATTTGAGCGATTCGATGAGAAGGCCCATCTCCTCTGTTCTGACAGATTGAAAAGATCTGATCTTGTGACTGCTGAGCAACTCCAACGTGCAGATTTTGCGGATGGCGCGCCAGTAAGGGCCGTACTGGCCGAAGGTGAGGTTGATCTGGCCGTAATTGATGTGGTTGGACGCCTGGTGGGGTGGCCGGCCGGCGAAGAGCAGGTCATGAGTGTTGAGGAAGAGGTGTGCCGCCGGCGGGGAGGAAACGACGACGTGTTCGATAAACCCGAACCGCAAACGCATTATGGGGCCGTGCAATTTGGCGAGCTTGCTTAAATCATGATGCGGGTTTTTACCGAGCAGGTGAAGGTGCCCCAGAATGGGAAGAGCTCTTGGACCTGGCGCCACTTTCTTCTTTTTCTTCACTGAGCTATGAAGGTGGAGGAGTAGAGCTGCCGCCGCCGCCGCAAACAAAGCAATTGTTGTCCAGACCCACGCCATCCTCCTATATCCCTTCTGTTCTTTATTACTCCGTATGTCAAGAAGAAATTACTCCATATATATAGTCTATCTATCCCCAAATCAAGAAGAAATCCCTCTGTATCTATTTAATTGACGTGCATGCTTTTTCACATAGTGGCAAATATATGTAAAGTGGGAGATTTTTGGTACTGTAACGGTACTGTAGCTGCTTTTTGAGTGAGTTTATTTTCAAAAAGGGAATGAGACATTTATTTTGATACGTCCCAAAAGGGAAAGTGAGTCAAGTAAATAGATACAGATGGAGTAAATTGTAAAGTAACGAAGCCTTATACTAAGGCTTTGTATTCCACTTCCTCTGTCCCATTAACAATGAGACAAGAGAAAGGCACACAAACCAATTCCTTCGTTTCACTAACAATGAGACACGAAAGAGTGACACGCAAACCAATAATAAAGGGTTTATGTGGTTGATATTAAATTGGTAAAATAAAAATAAAGTGATAATGGTTCAGAATCATACATATATTTTACAGTACTAAATTTAATACTACCTCCGCCCTTAAAAACTTTGCCATCTTTGACTTTTTAAGTCAATGATGGTAAAGTTTGGACCATGATTTGATTAGTACGTATTATAATATTATGAAAGTGGTAAGTTTTATACTTTTATGAAAATACTTTTAACAAAGAACATTTTCACATAATTTTTATACCGTAAATAATTTTCTATAAAGATATATAATTGGTCAAAGTTGAACATGATTGATCAAAAAATTCAAAGATGACAAAATTTGAGGGACGAAGAGAGTATGAATCAATTTTTAGTGGGACGGATTGAAAAGGAGATAGGAAACCAGCTCATGAGTGCATTAACTAAAGGACCAGCCAAGGCATTATAGGGGGTGTTTAGATCTAATTCTATGCTTCTGCTCCTTGAGGGAGCAAAAGTTGAGGCTGGAGTGTTTCCTATAAAGTTCAGAAGTGATTCTGCTACTCTAATTAACTCACAAAATCGGGTCTTTTAGAAGTCGAGAGAGACCAGATTCTGAAAACTGATTCTGATTCTGCTTCTACTTTAAAAATGAAGCATAAGTAGAATCAGTTCCAAACACTCCATTATTTGCGTTAACATATTAAAGGTTTTTAATTAATAATTTTGTCACCATGTACTGTGATAAAGTCAACTCCTATTTCATGCCCTATGCCCCTAATGTTTCCATTCTTTGAATTCTCATAATTAATGTTGGTGATGCCTTCTCATTTTTATCTGAGATATTAATTACTGTTTAGACATAGAAAGTAGAAACATATGAAAATGAGTCTCCTGTCTATCAATAAAAAATGAGAATAGGTTTTGACGGTAATCTTTTGAAAATGAATTGTTAATCAAAAGAAGGGTTAACAGTGTATATAAAATATGTGAAATCTTAATGTGCTAATTAAGTTTATGATAATGCCATACAGGTGTGGTGTATTCATGTGTTAAAATTTTGAGAGAAAAAAGTCAAATACACCCTTCTATTATATTAAATGAATATATTTACGTTCTTTTAAAAAAAATGAATGTACTTACGGAGTACTACTTTTCCGGTCCCAAATAAACTTTACACTTTTTTTTGGGTAGGTCCGTAGTTCAAAATACCCTTATTGTAATACATACCGTATACTCACTTTCTCTCTCCCACCACACTTTATCTACTTTAAAAATCCCACTTTGTTTGCAATCATTTGTGCTTAAATAAAAGTACTTTTTGGGAAAAAGTGATTAGTAGTAAAAGTTGATATTGTTTGGAAAAATAAGTGTTTTTTGTGTAATAGAAAAAGTAAAAAGTAGATTCTACACGAAAACCGAGAAAGTAAAAGTTGGTAGTGTTTGATAAAATAAGTGTTTTTTTTCTTAAAAAAAGCCAAAATCACTTTTCTTAAGTGATTGCAAATAAGCCCTAAAGTCAAAGTGTGAAGTTTATTTGGGACAAGAGAGTATTAAAAAAAATGATCATTTGGGTCAAGTCACCGGAAAACAACACTTTATGGCAAGTTACTAGATGATTCGACATATATTTTCCTTTTTTTTTTACTTTTTTTTGCATTCTTTTGTTCTTTTTTGTCTTAGACCATCTGCATTTCTACGCAATCTAAAAACTTAAATATGGACTTCGTCGATATGAAAACAGTGTTTAATTTTTTCAATATCATTTTTCCCTACAATCCAGCAATGTCAATAAAATACACTCAACATATTTTTTACGTACAAGCTTATCAGAACATTTAATTTAATTATTTTAAAGAATGTTATTTTGTATGAATAATTATGAAATTGAAAAATACACATTTTGATGTTAAAAATTTGTTTTTTTCAGCTTTCATAAAAAATAAAATGAGATCATGAAATAATCAGTTATTTATAGAAACTCCATGAATTAAAAATTTGTGTTTTGTGTTTTTTGGCCTCAAGATTACTCCAACAATTAAAATTTCAGACTTTTTTCATTTTATAAGCCCTCCAACTATTGTCCAACCCTCACATAAGCCCATGAACTTTAAAAAGAGTCACACAGATACACTTACTCCGTAAAATATGTCAAATGGGTCAAGATGACCGGTTACTCACTCAGTCACTTGGAGACCTGGTGGTAGGCTTACATGTTCCGGTTTCTTACCCAATCTGGCATTTTTTTCACATAGCAGGGTTCCCCTTTACAATGGTATGATGATATATTTTTTTCCTACGTGAATGTTTAGTCGGCCAATTTGAGATCGTTAGCTTCATCTACCAGCGAGTTAGGGTTCTTGTGTTTTTTAACTGCTGCTTTCGACATAATTGAGATATCGAAGGTTCCATGGATTGCGACACAATCAGAGGGATTTCATTGGGATATCGTTGCCTCAATGTCTGAAGTAATTTTGATGTGCTGATACTGCGTTCAAGTATGTAGTATTGATCATGTATTGGGGCTTGCTATTTGCAGTTTGGATTTGCAAAATATGCCAAAAAAAATTAGTGGTTGGTTTAACCGTGTATTAGGGTTTGCTATTTGCTTTATGTAACACAAAATTCAAAGGGTTAGGAATTAAGTAAACTTATTTGGATTAACTGTGTATTAGGGTTTGCTATTTGCGGTTTGAATTTGCAATATATGCCAAAAAATTAGTGTTTGGATTTTGAATATGATTACTCACCAATTAAGAAACACTAAATTTGAATTCTGAAATAATTATAGGGTCCTTTACATTGAAATTTTGCTTCAGTAAGTTGACACTTATTTGAGTCTTTTTTTACGATGTTTTTGGAAGCAGAGTTAAGAATACACCGTGGAGGGAATTTCCTTAAAGGTGCAAAGCTGTCTTATGTTAACGGTGAGGTGCATACGATTACTCTTGACCCAGATAGAATATCATACCCTCACCTGTTAAAGTTTATCATGGAGGATGCATACAAGAAGGTGGAATCCTTATCATTTAAATTACCTGGGGAGAAGCTGGAATTAGTAAAGCCATTGTGGGATGATGCATCTACTCTTCAGCTTATTGAAATGGCCAACAATTGGGGAATAGTAGACATTTATGTGGCGCATGGTATTGATGAGGCAGAATTGATTTCATAATATGCTTTACCTTCTACTGGAACTGTTGAGGAAGTAGTAAACAAAGAACTGAGGGTTGAAGCAGCTGGTGAAAATGTTGAAGGAAATGATACAGAACTGAACAAGGACAAATCACAATGTCAAGACGAAGAAGAAGAGGATATTTTACAATCAGGTCATGATAATACCTCTACAGAGGAGCAGGAGCAAGATTAGGGGAATGATGTCAATGATGGTGAGTTAAGAGATAAACAGACTGCATGGGTAAAGAATAAGTAGAGAGATGACTTGTATTCAGATGTGGATGGTGAGGAAGGCAGTGAGTGTTATGATTCGGATGAGCCGCCAAGCTGTTATTCTGAATCTGAACATGAACATTCCCAAGGTAGTGAGGTCCAATCTAAAGTTCAAGTCAAGCAAAAGTATCCTTCATATAATCCTACCTCTAAATCCAAAGACCTAGAGGTGGAGATGTTATTTGAAGATAGCATCCAATTCCAAACAACCCTGATTAATTACGCAGTGCATAATAAGAGGGATATTAGGTGGGTTAAGAATGAGCCTATGAGACTTCAAGCAACCTGTACCAGTAATGGTCCCTTTAAGTGCACTGCGTCGTGGGAAAACAACTATAGATGCTTGCAGCTGAAAACTTGGATAGGGACGCATAGATGCAATGAGAAGTTCAAGTTGACGATTGTGAGTAAAAAATGGCTAGAAGAAAAGTATAAAAAATAAAATAAGGGAAAATCCTAACATTGGCAGAGTGGAACTACAAAAAGAAATACGCAGTGAATTTAATATTCATGTGAATATTTCCAAGGTGAAAAGATGCATTGCTGTTGAAGTATTTATCCCACACCGGAAAGCTTTAGAACAATAAAACACTATATAAGACTTTGGATTACTCCTCCTATCAGGTTGACCTTTTAGGATGGAACCCCGGGTCTTAACATGGTATCAAAGCCAGGTTAAAATGTTAAAATGTCCCACACCGGAAAATTGAGAAGCATTAGAGTGCTATATTAAGCTTCGGGCTACTCCTCCTAACAGGTTGACCTTTTAGGATGGAACCCCCGGATCTTAACATGGTATCAGAGCCAAATCGATCCATGTTGTGTGACCCCCTTATGAACAATGATGACACGATTATAAAAAAAAATGACAACAACGAACCAACGAAAAAAAATGAATGACGACACGATCCAGACGAAGTGTCTGGTCGTGAGGAGGGGTGTTAGAGTCCCACACCGGAAATATTTGAATCAACGAAGTGCTATATTAAGACATGGGCTACTCCTCCTATCAGGTTGACCTTTTAGGATGGAACCCCGGATCTTAACATGGTATCAGAGCCAGGTTCGGTTGTGGTTTGAAAACTTGTTTAGCACCCATGATTAAGGGTAGCTTGTTAAGGGTCTGTTTGGCCCATTTATACACCCCGATATTGTTCAGCCCGGTTCGGGCTGAGGGGGCGTGTTGAAGTATTTATCCCACACCGGAAAGCTTTAGAACAATAAAACACTATATAAGACTTTGGATTACTCCTCCTATCAGGTTGACCTTTTAGGATGGAACCCCGGGTCTTAACAATTGCAAAGGTGCTTAAAAAGGTTAATGAGTCTTTTACTGATCAATTTCGTAGGGTGAGAGACTACGCAGAAGAATGCATTAGGTCA